ATTAGGGTGAAATAAGCATAAGCAATTATCCAAAGTAAATTTCCTGAAAAACAAATTTCAAATCAGTTACATATCACTCATATAGTTCAAATATACACATCAAAATCATGTCCAGATATGAGAGAGTCTACTGTATATCTTATAAAAGTCATTTAATTTATATTAATGAAATGGATAATAGCTTAAATAAAATGTTGACATCAGACTTATTAATAGTAGAGTAATAAAATAAGAAACTAGTTTGTCAAAATATTTATTTTATTAAGATAAATTAATTATGCTTTTTATTTTATTCATTTCTATAAATTAAAAATATTTATTTTATTTAAAAAAATACCTATTTTAACTAAAAATATTATTATATGAATTTTATTTCCTAACCACAAAGCAGTTATGACTTTTTCTGCCCTAACAAAACATATCCTATGAATTTCCTTTCCTAATTTTCTTCATACAACTGAATTTTGAGGTCTAAAATGGAAAGATGTTGATCTGTCAGTGAAGTAAAAACAATCCAAATTGTTTTCAAATTTTGAGAAAACGTATTTCACATTATTCACTGACACATTTAAACAAAAATCTTAATTTTTACTGTTTTGTCACTGAAACTGAATTTTGTCTTATACCATGTTCAGCCATCTTTGGTGTATACTGAATCCAGGGATGGTTGGTTTCATGACTGTTAAACTCTAATGTTAATATCTGCAATATACACCTGTTTTTTTTTGACAAAATTTGTTATTCATATAAATTCATAGCAAAATGGATAACCTAATGTATGCAGGTACATCAATAAGTCTGTAGTTTAAAATGGAAAACAAAACATTTTGTACAAGAAATATTTTTCATTATAATCTCCTTTCATGTCACTGCACTTAATTCAGCAGTGAATATTAATCACAAAAATCACTTGTTAACAGTGTCAAGCCAAGTATCCCATTTAGTACACACACACACACACAATGTAAAGTGGTGATAATCTATGACTACTATATATATTTCACAGTTTTCCGATTTGAATTTTCTAATGAATCTTTATTTTTAAGTTAAGGATCAAATAAGTTCATGGTGAGTTCTATGACAATAAAATATTCGTAGAAATTCCCCTATTGTGTCATTCAATATTTGACCTTAACTTTAACAAAATATTGCAATAACAATCATGAATGTGAAGTGGGTCTTTATATAAAGAAGTAAGGGAGTACAAATGAAAAGATTTGAAATTGGTAACTTTTTCCATTTCTATGAAACTAAGTAACATCTCTGCATGTTTTTTTCTGTCTTTCCACATATCAAAATGGAATAGTTCATTATTTATGATTAGATTGTCATGAGACATTAAACACTTCTTTCTTTCATTTTCTCACTGAAACCATGTAGCTCCTTTGATAAGTCGTCTTTGTCTTTGTGGAACAGTCCATTATTTATGAGGTAATTGGCAGGGCATAACGTACATATGTGCTAACTTAGGCAAGTACAAGTATGTGTGTGTGTGTGTATATATTATATATATATATATATATATATATATATATATATATATATATATATTTGTGTGTATATTATTATTATCTTTTTATTATAATAGATTATAATAAAAACATTTTAAATTGCTACACAAAAGCTTTCACATTTCAAATGTTTCAATACTATGATTATACTTTCTCAGGTGATGGTTGGTAACTGGTGATAAAATGATTTTTTAGGGAAATTTAAAAACAAATCGTTACCACTTTTCTGAAAGTGAAGGTTGGGGGTGGGGCATAAGGTCAGAATTAAAAATATATTTGTGAGTATGTCTCGATTAACCAATTAAATATCAGAACTACACTAAATAGAAAAATAAGGCCAGAGGGTGGAGGTCGGTGAGTTATTTTTTCACGTCACGATAAATGCCACATAGACATGGCATCATTGACGATTGTGAAGAATATGGCAGTTGCAATTTTATATAAAGTTAGTTCATTATTAACTGGTAGAGTTGTGTGATGCGTTGTGTCTTCGTCTGAACCACATGCAAGAAACAAGTTAAACAGATATAAAAGTTGATAAAATACTTTCCTGTAATTATTGACACAACTTTTGTATAAATTTATATAATTAATAATATAATTATTCTTATTACCCCCTTCTCGGGTATTTTCTTTGTCTTTCTAACACCCTATGACTGATTTCATCTCAAATTGTGTGGGGTGAGGGGGGATAAGTGAATCTTTAAAATGAAATTATGGGGCATTTAGTACAGAACAAAATAAGGGAATAATTGGATTCTGCTTTTTGTGATAATGTTTGCAAATAGAGAAAAGAAAAAAGAACAATTTTAATCTAGAAATGTAAGAGAACTCTGACATTGAAATCTTTAAAAAATATAAAAATTAAAAATAAGATTCAATTTTTATCACCAGAGATGTGTAGCAACCACATAATTCTAATTTGACTTTGAAGTTTTAAACAGATCTAAAATAGATTGGTGATTACAGTCACTGTCATATGATATTTGGAAACTTTGACTTAAAATATTTATCTTTGTCTGTGTCAGGCCCATCATCACAGTGTTTTGAGGTAGGGTAGTAGCTGGCCTTTAGGTCAGCAGGGACAGCAAGTAAGAATTTGTACACTAAAATTAGTTCATATCATTTTCACGTGGGTTGTACAAGGCAAGTGACAAGCCTGGTGTGTGTATGTACGTACAGTGATGCCAATAGATTTTTTTAATGTAGTGTGACTACAGGACTCACAGGTGATGATTTGAGTGGGTCCCTAAACTAATGTTTAAATTGTGATGTTAAACTGTATGGCTCCAGAATAAATTTTTTTACCATTGTCTCAAAAGAAATTTTTAATTGACCCAAATCATTTAAATAGATAGAAAAAAGTTTGCCTGCTTTTTTAAATTAAATTAATAAATTCGAAACAAAAGCAGTATTTATATTTTTTGAGAATTATGATAAAACAAAGATTTTTTTTTTAATTGACAGAAGTTTTTATTTTAAATTGACAGAACAATTTTTTTTAATTAATAAATTGAATGTGTTGAGTCTAGTTTCTTATAAAAACCAATTTTGATTAGGTAAACTACTTTAAACATTTAAGTAATCTCCCTTGAATCTTCATAGAAATATGAAACGAATTAGTGATGCATTCAACTTTCAGATCTGCATGATACAAAATTCAAAGAAAATATATTTCTGTAACAACATAAAACGCACCAAAATGAATTATTAAATGAATTATTGGTGAATCTACTGCTTGTGAAGAGAACATTGCATAAATAAAAACAAAATAGTGACTGTAAGCATTTAAGTAGCATCAAAATAAGTAAATAGTAACAGTGCTGATTTTAATACATAAACAAAAAAATTCTTATCGCCTTGACCAAGTCTACAAACTGTGACCAAGATCTTCTAGTCTGAGAAGAATCAACAAAAGAAAATGAGAAAATTAACCAGTCACTCATTATAAAACATTTAGCACATTGATGAAACTAAAAGCAGTGAAAAATATATCAAGAAAGCTCAAATAATGCAGTTATGTTTGTGATGTATTATGAGCATGAAAAGTGTGAAACCCAGGGTCACAAACTCATATCCATACAACTGAGTATATATATATATATATATATATATATATATATATATATATATATATATATATATATACTATATACCATCACCTGAAGAAGTACAGTCAAACATAGTACTATCACACACTCATACATACATATATATATATATATATATATATATATATATATATATATATATATATATATATATATATATATAATATTAGTGGTAAATATTTAATCATATCTAAAATATATAAATATATATACATGCATACATACACATACATATATATATGTATAAAAAATAATTCCAAGAGGATAGAATCCAGGTAGAACTCAATGTCCAGGACAGAGTAAGGATATAATAAAAAGGCTTAAACACTAATATTCCATGGTCATAATTTATTCCATTAGAATCATAAATATGATCCAATTCATCAGACCTACAAATTCAAAAAGAAAACAGAAAAAACAACTCCAAGAATAAAAAATAATTTTTTGTGAGTATGTATGTATGAGAGTGTAGGACAAATGTTAGAGTAAATGAAAGCTATAGGGAGGGGTGACAGACAAGAGAAGAACAAGAAGGACCTTCCAGTCAATCCCTTTATTCCTGATTTTTAAAGTACAGCATCCAAATTTAGTGGCAAAATTTGCTGAAACAGATTTCTAGTTGAAGATTCTAAACTTAATTGTATCATCCTCAGCCTTTTCTTTTTATCTGCAGAAAGATTTAGTTTGATAATGCAGAAAATGATTAAAATGATGGATGGAGTACTGGAAAAGATGAGGGACAGCAAAAAGAAATTCAGAAATTTTATATAAGCTTTAAATGCAGCTGGCACTAAAATACATCTTTGACTTCATTTTCCCCTCCAGATGTGTTACTATAAGAATAAATTAAACTTTTAATGTATTTGTTTAATAAATTTTATCTATGATAAAATAAATTAATATCTGGTTAATAGGTAAAAAACAATAATAATAATAATATTGAATGTTTTTGCAATATTTAATATATTTTTGAATTTACAAAGGTGCTACCAGATGGTGAATGTACAGAGAAGTCATGACGAGAATTATTTTAGATAGTGGCAATTTACAAGCAGTAAATATCCTTTTGTGGGGAGAGGAATACATGGACTTATAAGATACATTGTCTAATTATTGCTGGTAATATTTAGAAGAATCGGAAACAAAAATACTCTAGATTGAATGCAAAATTATTTTGGATTTTGAATAGTTCTCAGCTCAACGCAGTTCCAAAATGGCCAATGGGTGGAAAGGGGTTTCATGGTCGTACTGAGAACTTTTATAAATGTATTTATGAATATAAATTATGTATCTCAAGTTAAATAAACATTTAGTTAAGAAATCACTGACAATTTTTGCAATATTTCATGACATGTCTTTGAAATTTTATCTTCTGTAGATATGTTGTTCTAACAAGCAAGCATCATGAAGGTTACACAAATTGGCCTTCCAAAGTTTCCTGGAATTGGAATTCTATGGATGTTGGTCCTCATCGAGATCTTGTTGGTAAGTGAAATTATAGAATCTGCCATTGTTTTTCATGTTTAGTCATTTTATGTTAGCAAGGTGACTACATGCAGTTAAGGATTACAGAAAGACTATTGATAAAATAATATAATTTTCATCCAATGCAGAAAAAAAACAATCTGATACCAGTATTCAGTATATCAATGGCACCTTTTGATCTTCAACTGAAGAATTCTATTATAATTGTTTATCCCTCTTTCCATTAGTTAGTTTCTGAGTTTGCACAACCATCACGCCCAGCCAATATCTCATAAATAATGAACTATTCCATTTTCATTGCAATGAAAACATGGAAATAACATATCAAAGATGTTAATTGGGTTCAATGAGAGAAGAAACAAACAAAGAAGGAAATTTTTCTCACTGAACCCCCCAGTCTCTGATGTGTCATTTTCATATGAAAATTTCACAGTTTTAATATTCAAGGACACATGGTACAGTGGATAAAGGCGTTAGTTAGATCCAGTGACAGTACCCAAAGAGTGTGAGTTCAATACCTAGTTAAAGCAGTGGAGAACTTTCAGAGGGGAATTAACAGGAGATAACTGATAACTGACAACCTTTAAACATGGCACGTGGAACTAGAACAGTCTACCCCAGTGAGCGAAATAAAGGGTTCAGTTTGACATTCCAACCACTTGAAGAAGGCATACAACAGCCGAAATGTTGTAATAAATATGGCGAGAAAGATGAGGACAATAGTTTGAATAATGTAAATAATGTACATAATACCTCATCTCAGAAATATAGACAGATACTGATTCTTAATTTTTAGGTTAATGATTGAATAAGTTCATAATGAGTTTTATCACAAAAAAATATCCAAAGAAATTCCCCTATTGCATTGTTAAATATTTGAGTTTAACAACTTTAACAAAATATTCCAATAACAATCATAAATATGAATGCTGGTCATTAACTTATTATTTTAAGAAGTAAGGGGATACAAATGAAATGATTTGAAATTGACAACTTTTTATGGGTATTTCTAGTGAGGATTAATTCTTCAAAATGTTTTTAAAGTAACAAGGTCTGTCTGAATAAAAATAGGCAAGTAACATTATTAATAATTTTACTGTATTGAAAATGAAGAAGAGATGGTCAATCGGAAATGTCTGTTGGCTTGTGGCTAGCCGTGTTCGGTTCTGGTAAAGGCTGCAATAATAAATCCTATGTGTATCCATGTTTGTATCCCTAAATACACCCAGTGGATGTATCTATCAAGTTTTTTTAGTTATTAGTTCAATTTTCAACAAAGTTCTGCTGAGTTTAAGACAAAAATGCGGTAATGTCGTCAAGGGTTTATTTTTATGAAATCTAGAGATGAGAATATTTGAGGAAGGGGTGAAAAAATATGATTTTGATAAAGTAAGTTTGGAAAAAGTGTCAAAAGGATATTTTTTCCCTTGACAGCACTATTGTTCTGACTGGTGAATTTGTCATTTTTTTTTGTTCTTGAGAATTTACAACAAACATATTAAACACTATTAATTTATCAGATTGTTTATTTACAACATTCTAAAAATGTGGAGAATTTGACTGTTCAGGCTGGAGAAAAGTAATGTACTTACCTGGGACTGTTTGATTCTTACTAACTAAAAGTTGTTACTTTTTACTAACTTTTGATAGTTACAGGATCCAAGTGTGCTGTAAGTTTTATCATTGACCCAGTCATTTAGAATATTTCAAAGATTCACAAAGAAACAATTAGAAATATTAGGTTACATTGATGCTTAAAAATATCTGAATATTTTCAAATTCCTTATATTTCAACTTCCTCTCAAACAAAGACTTTTTTTTTTTGTTTTTTTGTAGGTGAGCTTGCAAATGCAATTAAAAAAAGAACATCTCTTCATTTTGGTTTGTATCATTCCTTATTTGAATGGTTCCACCCTTTGTATCTTCAAGACAAAAAGAAAAAATTTACAACCCAGGAATTTGTCAAGGTAAGTATAAATCAATTCGTGAATTTGCTTTCTCTTTGTTATTTCAGTAAAAAAGTTAACCTAATGATAAATAAATTACTGTGTAAAACTTTTGAATATAAAAAAAAATTTTAAAACCTATAAACTCTCCTTCAATAACAAGAGCAATAATAATTTAAAAAAGAAGTTACTTTATTTAGTTCACATTAAATTAATTTAAGCAGATCTTGTAAATTAAAGGGAAATAACTTTATAATCTTTTTTAGTTCATTACCTCCCTTGGATATTGTAATAGAAGAAGAGAAAGAATCTTTTTTTTACTAGGGGAAAGGAAACAGAAAAGTGTTAACAGAACGATGTTAGATCAATGACGGAAGGAGGCAATAGGAATAATAGGTAAACAGGCAGTATAAAAAGGAAGAAACGAGGCGGGAGAGGACTTTTTTTTTTCTTTTAGATGATCTGTTATGTTGAGGCAACAAAAAACCAAGTGGCAAGTGAGAGATAGTTATGATGACTTGTCAAATGATTTGACAAATTTAGTAAAAGGGTTGGACAGAGGTACGTTACTACCCTGTACTGAACAAGGATAAATGCTCCAAGATTGAGGGGTTTGATTGATTCATTCTTGAAACCAAATCATTTTTGTCTGCTTTACTGTTTTAGGCATGCAGATATCCAATTTATTTACTATAAATATTCAATTTATTTACTATAAATATTACTATAAATATCCAATTTATTTACTATAAATATTACTATAAATATTTATGCAAAAAGTTGATAATTTTCAAAGAAAGATTTATATTAAAATTAGAAGATCGACAATTACATGGACACTATATAGTCGAACATTTATTTCAAAATGATCCAACATTAGAAAACCAATTTGAAAAATACAAGTTCATGTCTGTGGTTTGAACCTATTTCAAAAAAAAAGAGCCCCATTGCTTAGCATGTTTGAAATGAGGAAGAAAAAAAGCAACCCTCTGCTGTAATCCGTCCTCAACCAGATAACGATTTATTGTAAAAGTAAAATGTTAAAAATGGAAGGGGGAAAGGCTGGTTCTCTTTCAATATAAAACAATTTCCAACAAATACATCCACCAAAATGCCTCAATTCTATGAAGTTCTTTCCCCATATATACAATACATGTGTCTGTTAAAATTCTAAAAAAAAAACCCCAAAATAAAATGAATTATATACAAGAAACTAAACAAAAATTTTTTAGTAAAAACCCCCACTGCCCTAAATGTGGATATTTAACTGTAATTTAAAAATTAATAAAACATTTTCCATGCACTCATACAAACACACACTCAAAACAACAAATCTCTGAAAGACATACACCAAAACGAAAACCCGCACCCACCAGAAACTGATACCCCTTGGGATTAAACAAAAAAAAAAAAAAAAAAATAGGGCCAGAAAAAAAGGGGGCCAATGAGCATACATTAGATAAAAAAAAAGAAGAAAAAACTAAAACAAAACGGACCTAAACTAAAAGGAGGCAATTTAATTAGGTCAAAATGCCACTCAAGGCAGCAGAGACAGCATAATCACCAAAAGGAAGAAACGTCCTGATCTTTTACTTTAAGAAATCAGGGGAAGAAAGGAAAACTTCTTTTCCTTCTAATCCATTTTTGCTACAGATCAAAAAAAACTTTCCGAATGACTTACAAGCAGACTCTGACACTACAATGAAAAGGACCTATGGTCTCCACCTCCCCACTGCAGTGAAGGAATAAGATTTTGGTAATACCAGAGGTGACGATGCCTCGGGATTAGTGATCTGAGCCTCCCGGCAGACGGGCCGAGCTTCGCCCTAACAAATCATCTCGGCGTTCCCCTAACTTTGCCTGAAGGAAGGGCAAAATTCGATAGAAACCAAGCGGCAAAAATGACGTCTTCCTTCCATTCTCCGTTAGATGATAAGGATGTTGTGCGAGTCAGGGGATGGAGGTAACAGATCTCGCCCGATTGTAAAAGGAGAACAAGGCCTTACAAATTTAAAATGTCAGGCAAAAACGATTGGATGGCACTTCCGCCCTTTTTTTGATGACCTCAACTGGATTAACCAGGCGCCCAGTATCTTGACCCGGCCCGTCCGTCCAAGGAAAGATCCGGGAAGACATCTTGGTTTGATTGTTCATTCTTGTTTTAAATCATTTGATAAATTTAAAAAGGGGTTTGATATCCAATTTATTTACCAGCGCACCGGGAGGCATATGGTAAATATTTTCAATTTATTTACTATAAATTTATTTCATCTATAAATCATTTTTTAGTATTTACTATTTTAAATATCCAATTCATAAACCATCTAATTAAATAAATATCCAATTTATTTACTATAAATTTAGACCGGGCTCCCTGGTAAAATATTTATGCCTCGTAGTCTGAGATTTTCAAAAAAAATATTAAATAAATCGACAATTTTGACATTTTACTAAAATCAGCAAACATTTATTTCAAAAACCCCAACATTATTACCACAAATTAGTAAAAGCCAATAATGCTGAGTTCAATTTCCAGTTCTTAAAATACTAACCCGAACCGGACAAGATGATCCAAACTGGACATTCTAAGTTCAAATGAAACTCTCTTAACTAGAACTTCGTCGATGTACATGAGCTGCCGTCCCTAGTCCAAATCCATACTACCTCCCGGGGTGCTCATTTCGGTACTCCGGATTATTAGTACCAGTTTTCTTCCTTGTCTCAGGGCGGCGTTCAATCACCCGCTAAAAAGAGCCCAAAACGGCTTCCGATTTCAGGCCAGCTTTGAATGGTCATTGGGCGCTAAACCCCAATGCAAGCCTTTATGAAATCCAACACGCAGGCCCGCCGGATCCGAGAAAAACACACAGCATCCAGAGACTTGCTCACCAGCCAGAAACACCCCTCTACCATCAAAACATGCTGAATCCAACCTCTTAGACAGAATGTCCTCATGCCAGATAAAAACGGGTCTAACAACATACATCCACCCCGAGGCGCTGAAGATCGCGATCGAGCCTCGCCCTTCGAACCTCAGGCCCCGACATTCAAAGGGGGAGACCTAATTAGGGGTTGGGACACTGATTACCATTTTTATGCCCATCTCATTGTTGATGGTGCCATCTTGGGAGATATGCAATATCCCAAGGACATGTCAGTTTTAAAGGGGGAGGGATGAACTAAAACTGGGACCCTCCCTGCACACACAAATTTTTGCTTTAAGTCTTCATTTCAGTGACGCAATCAGGGGAATTTTTTATGGGATCACCTCCTCCAACATGGCCCATGCTTGGCTTGACCCAGACCCTGTTCTTATTATAAGAATTCTCTGGGCCTTGGGGAGATTATCGGGTATGAACAACTATAAAAGCATACTCTTTTCGCCTTTTTTCTGGCCTGGGCTTTCTACAGGTATCCACACCTGTAAAAAAAATATATTTGGATGTTTTCTTTTTTTTTCCTTGAGTCCTGGGTGGGACTTCGCCTTTTTAGTTCTTGGAGGGGGCATTTCAAGTAGGGGAAGGGCTGGGAGGCAGGGTTAGGTGTTGGGCTGGGATCTTGAACAGACAGAATGGGTGGAATGCTTCTTTGGAGGATGTTTTGGAGTGATGAAGGGACAAGTTAGCTGATGTTGAGGGAGTGGCTTTTTCAGATTCAGGTTCTCCTTGTCCAATTTTTCCTTCAGTTGTTTTATTTTCTCCGTTTAGCAAATCTGGGTCGTAAGTCTTTTTTCTCTCAGAAGCATCAGAAGCCGGGCATCTGCCCTTCACGTTGACAGTGGGAGGGGGCTGTTTGTGTCTTTTGCCCTTGGGACTTCATTGGACTGAGGTCCCGCTGTTTTCCCTTTTATTCCCCCTCCCCCCTTCTCCAAAACTGCCTCAATGTCATTTTAATTTTTCGAACGGCCCGGAATAAGGCAAATATGAGATTTGTATTTTTTATGAACTTTTTATCTCAACATAGTTTAATAAATTTCAGTTTCAAACCCTTAAAAGGCTTATATAATTTCTAAATAGTTCTGATTATCTTCCTTCTTCTTCGCCCTTCATATTCTGAAGGTCTTTCGTTAAAGTCGCGACTTGGCATTCTCCCACAAAATATTCGCTCCCTTCAAATTTGAGGGGCTGGACTCAGTGATTTAACACTGTGTCTTTGTCGGCGACAAATTTTTAAAATCCGACACAATTCTTTTCTCAATTTTTCGTAATTCCTGGGCGTCTTCCAGGTCCACCTTCCACGACAAGGTGGCGTAACTCTTGGCCCTCTCCAAAACTCCATAACTCGACCAACAAGAAGGCAATTCCCGGCTTCTGCATTCTTTTTTTCCTCGATGTTGCATTGGTCACTATTGGTTTCCTTGGTTTCCATATTTTCTTTCTTTTTTTTTTCTTTTGCCTGCTGCTTTTTTTTAAGTATCCACTATTTCCTCATTAGATGGAACCAGAAAACTCATTTGTATCATTTTATCTGGTGGAATTTTTTAATAACAAACAAATGCTTTTTTTTGGATTTTTAAAATCGAATAATTAGGTTAATTAAAAAAAAAGGCCTATTTTTTTTCCATTTTCAAAAGGAAAGGGAAGGGAGGGGTTGGTACCAAATTCGAAAAAAAAATGGAAGGGGACAAGCCATGCGAGTAAATGAAGGAGGGGGGCGATAGGAAAATAAAATAAAAACAAAAACCTTAGTAAGCTTAACAGCGAGACAACAAATTTAATTAACAATTAAAGGTCGACAGACAAAAAATAAAACAGAAGGACGTATAAAAAAATTAAAAAGACAAAAAAATGAAACAAGTTTTTGCCTAAAAGCAAAACAAATTTAAACAGATAAAACTTAAATGGACGTAAGACAGGAGAACAAAAGAACAAAAGTTCACAAAAAATAATTAAAAAGGACGAGAGACAAGCAAGCAACAAATTTACAAACGGAAAAATAAGAAAAACATAATACAAAATAAAATACGAAACTACAAATGTGACAATTTACAATATGTCTAAAAAAAAGTCAACCCACAAAAACAAAATAAAACAAGTTTAAAAAAAAAAAAAGAATTACAAAATAAACACAAAATTTCAAAACAAATACTATATACACGAAACGAACTTTACGGGTTTTAAAAGAAAGAAATAATTAACACGTAATAAATAAAGGAGGGGGAAAAAAAAAGGTCAGACACGAAACGTAAAAGACGAAAAATAAACAAACTCCGAGAGGTGGGTACGGGAAGAAAATAAATTTAAAAAAGGAAAAAGAAAACATAAACGAAAATCAAAACGTTAAATAGCAAAAAAATAAATGTAAAACGGGCAGTGAAAATGAAAAAATCAAAAATTTAAGAAATAGTCAAAAAAAATGAACGTTAGAAAATCAAAAACTTTAACAAAACAACGTTAGAATAATCAAAAATTTAAAAAATAGTCAAAAAAAGAAACTAAAAATAATTCAAAACTTAGCTAAGTAAAGACAGTCAAAGTTCAAACAAGTACTCCAATAGACAAAATGAACGTCTAAAACGGTCAAGAGTAAGCTGAAATGGCCAGATAACGTAAAAGAATGAGGGGGACTGGCATTGCATTTTTTATGCAATAAAAGATGCAATGCATTATGGGACTGGACGCAATGAATTATGGGATCACATGAAGATGCAAGGGATTATGGGTATATGAACAACTATAAAAGTTTTTTTTTCATCTTGAAGGACGTTCACAGTTGAGGAACGGGCAGTTAATTTTGAGACAGAACTCAAGAAGGAACGACTCAAGGTTGAAATACCAACTGGGAATTTAAATTAGCCTCAATGTCATTTTAATAAATATGAGATTTGTATTTTATGCTTTTTATCCCAACATAGTGTAATAAATTTCTAACTTGTAAATCTTATATAATTTCTAAATAGTTCTGATTATCTTCCTTCTTTGGTAATTACACTTTATGAATTTAAACACAGTACTAGATTGGCACCAAGGTTGCATCATTTTACAGATGAAATTGCTAAATGTAGCCATATGCTGACAGTTTCTTCTTTCACATTCCTTGCTTGTAAAACTCTCTTCTGGCCTCTTGCTTTCCAGTCAACTTTGATCTTCAAAAATTTAAATGCAATGTCAATCATTATTTTCTGTCTTCTTAATCTTAATTCCTGTTTTTTTATTGTTTTCTCTCCTTAATAATGTTTTATTTTCCTTATATTCTTTTACACTTTGTAATGCCATATGTCTTAGTGACTTTATTGCCTTGCTTAGGATGAAATGATTAAAAAAAGAAAATACTTTATCAAAAAGATGTGGAAGACTAATAGGCCAATAATTTGAAGGATAAGACTGTTCACCTGAGTTCTTAAAAACAGGAATTGCAGAAGAGGATTTTCAACAAGTTGGATAGCAAGAAGTAGCAAAGCATTTGTTGTAGAGTTTAGAGAAAACAGGAGACAGTTTGGAGCACATTTCTTTAGAAATATTGCAAGGATAACATCAAGCCAGCAAGGATTTTGGCAATCTAGTTTAAAAATGGTTGTTGGAGTTATATATATATATATATATATATATATATAACTTCTTCATGTTTTCAGCTTATATCACAGAGCACACACTTTATCAGCAAACAACGGCTTTCATTGGGGGGACATATTTGCTGTTGTTTATGTGTTTCCACTTTTCAATGATTTTGATGAAATTTTTTTTTTCTTTGATAGATAATTCTTCAGTGTCAATTTTGGTCAAATTAGCTGGAAAAAATTACAACCTTCAAGGTAAAAATTGAAAAAAAAACCACAAAAATCAAAGGTTGTCTGTAAAAACAGACAATCAATTTATAGAGTTAAATATAACTAAAAAGATTATTAGAATTATAAAAAAAATTATATTATAAATAAAAATTATCGTATATTATTATTATGATGGTCCATGAAAGTGGTTCCTTCCTTGCAAGTATGAGAAAACGGCCTTTTTCAGGGCCACCCCATTCAAATTTAGTCCCTCATTTGGGGATGTGTCTCAGTTGCACCTAGTTGTTGTTACTAATATTGATTTTCAGGTGGGCTGACTTTAATCTTAAAGTGCCCCAATTGGACAGCAAAAATTCCCAGTAATGAAACACCTGGTTGAAGACTGGTTATACTGCTATATATATATATATATATATATATATATATATATATATATATATATATATATATATATATATATATATATATACACAAAGACAAAAGGAAAACTTTTCATAGTTAATTGAACGAGACCAATTTAACCCATAGATTAAATTCCTTGAAGATTACCTGGATCGACTGACACCTGATAATTCAGTGAACCAAACTTGTGAAAGGCTATAGAATATCACACTATATCAGCGAATATATTTGCAATTATTATGAGCAGACACTGTTGTGATCAGAGCTTATCGCATTGGTATAGCCAGAAAAAGTGATTCCTGTGGTCTATAGTGATTGAACAGGCAGGTGTGATCCAAAGAGAAAATTGTGGTTTTATCTGGTATTTATGAGCTGACATGAAAGGATCAATGCAAGTTTTAACATCTCAGTGGTGTAATTTTCAATGTGATGATGAGAAATTCCACTCCAAGGAGCATCTTGAAGAAAAAAAAAATCACAAAATGAATCCCAGTCAGTGCATTGTTAATAAACTGATGTCTTATGAATAGGAGATTCATGCTTAATAGATGAGCGAAGAGAAATATCCACAGACATTACAACATAATCTGAACTGCCAAGAGGATAGAGTTGCGATACATGACAAGAGTCCAGGGTGGAGGTAAGGAACAGTGTTTTAACCCACTATTCTATATTCCTGTGGGAACAATCTACTCGCCCCACCGCCCAACACACACACACACACACACACACACACACACGCTTTACAGATTAAATAAAAGGTTCAGTTCAAAATTCCTTGAAGGTTAACCAGGTTGACAGACACACCTGAAGAAAGACAGAGGACACAAGTGTCAGTAGGTTGTGATAATAACAAAGATGAGGACAAATAGTAAATAAAGATGACTCCTCAGTCCAGAAATAGATCCTCAGTCCCCAAATAATCCTCATCCCAGAAATTTAGACAGAAATAGAAGTAAGTATTGAATACTTGTGAAAATAACAAACTTGTTTCTAATTCTTTCTTTTTTTTTTTTTTTTTTTTTTTTTTTTTTTTTTTTTTCAGAAGAAAACAATGCCTGAACTGTACGACCTTGTTACATTGTACAAACCAGATGTAATTTGGTCAGATGGAGATTGGGAAGCACCTGATACTTACTGGAATTCTACAGGATTCTTAGCTTGGCTCTATAATGAGAGGTAATTGAACTAGGATTCTGTATTTTGGGCTAAGATGCATCAATATTAATTACTAAAATAATAGGTAAAACAGGTGAGAAAATAAATGATTTAATTTCCTTTGTTTTTTTAATTAACTGTTAATTGTACAGGTGCCTAAAATAAGTGTTTAATAAACTGATTATGTTTGCTTCTTTCATGCACTTCTATTAAAGATGTCATAAGATTATATAGCAAAGCCTTTTTAGCTTTCAAGAAAATCTGTTTCATAATGTTGTGTCACTGCGTGTGCTTATTTGTGTCAAATAAGAACACAGAATTCAAAACCTTATACATTTTATTCACTATTGAATAACGATAGATGTAGGATATGATCAGTGGATTACTGGTAGATTGATAGTGTCCTGATAGGGAACATGAGAGAATGCATGACTACCACCTTGAAATCACTTTTCTTCTCTGTTGTCCTAGAGAGTTTTGATCAAGGGGCATAACTTGGTTCTCATCTAGGGAGCAAGTTAACTCCCTTGTTATATGATACCCATCATATAACAAGGTGTTTTAAAATCATTTCATACAATTCGATCAAATAAGTTTCAATGATCAAGATTTAATGATTGGTTCTTTGTTTCCAATTTAAATGTTGTACTAATAATTTATTAGTATAAGGAATTTTTCTTTTTTTTTTTTTCTTCCTCTTTTCTTTCACTTTCTTGTTTTTTTCTTTCTTTTTTTTTTTACTTTCCACTGTTTTCTTTTATTTTCTTTGGTTTCTCTTTTGTTATCACTGTTTTCAGTTTTATCCTCTTTTCTTTTTCTTTGTTTTTTTTTTTTATTTCTCTTGTAAAGTTAACACAAAGTAAAGAAAGTCACCATTAACCTTGTGGTCACCAAATTGTTGATACTAGATCAGAAGTATGTGTTGAATGAAGGCTAAAGGTGTTGAAAAATAGAAAAAGTTTCAAGGAATGATGGAAAAGTTGGATTTACTCTGCTGGTGAATTAGCTAGCATGTGAGGTGTACTGTCTACGCCATGTTGAAAAAGATTTACTTTTGCTGATAGGGTTTTTCACACATGGAAATGTTTAATGTCTGCTACACATTTTAATTTTTCTCTTTTTCTCCATTCTTTTCATCCATATAGTTTGTCTCTTATCCATGATGTTCACTCAATGTTGAGATTTCAGTTCTAAATCAGAAAAATAATTTAAACAAAATTTTCTGCATATTAGTTTGTGTTTATAAACTGATTTTCACTGCAATTAGAAACCATGGATTTGGAAATTTGTTCTGAGATTTCAGTTCTAAATCAGAAAAAAATTTTAAATTCTTGTAAAAGTGTCAAATTTAAACAAAATTAGCACTATGAAAGGGTAAAACACTATGAAAGGGTAAAAATAAGTTTTAATACCAGAAATACATTTTTGTAAAAAAAATTATTACCAGCAATACTTTTTTGGAAAAATATTACCAGCAATACATTTTTGAAAAAAAAAAAAAAATTTTACCAGAAATACTTTCTGAAAAAAAAATATTACTAGCAATAAAAATCTTGTCAGCATTAAATAACCCATTGAGACTGATATCATTTTTTCTGTTCACTCACACTATGTGTATCTGCATATTTAATTTGTAAAATTTTACTTTTCAAAATAACTTTGAAAACAAGCATTACATTGTGAAATTCAAATAGAAAAAGTGTTTTTGATAGGAATCTAACCACATTCTTTTGTTTCCAAATCTTCATATATACTGTTACTTTTACCAAATAGGCATCCAATTCAGATTAAGATTTCACACTACATTTCTCAAATAACCAATCTTTATGGTGCATTCCAACATTTTATGCAAGTGACAGTTTTTCAGATATCATCATCATCATCATCATATTGATTGTACATATCTGACCTTAATTTGGCCAAAAGGTTTGGCAACACTGTGTGCAATGACATGTGATTCTCCTAAATAAACAAATGATAACCATTTTGGTAATATATTGCTTTATTGTTGCTGTCCTAATTTTTATGCAACCCAAGCTGTCAAACATATTTGAGCAATGATGACAAGGCAAAAATTGTCCAAACACTTCATGATCATTAAGCAGAATCAGAAATTAGTAAATTCCTTGCAAGGGCAAAATTGGCTGCATCTGGTGCAAAAGCTGACAAAGGAACAATACAAATCTTTTGACTTTCACTTAATGACGGGAAACCTGATTGTAAATTGAGATTCACAATCTCCCATTTAAAAGTAGTGAAGAGTTATTTGAAGCCAGTAGGGATCTGTTTTGGCCTTAAACATCAAGATGCTATCCACATAGTGAAATATTTAAGCATGTGTAACAAACCAATTGTTCATCTTACTTTGTGATCAGATCTCACCTTGATAAGCATGCAAAGTAAGCCAAACAGAATATGAAACTGTATTTCCAGGGAATCCTATTCACAGATGAAGAAAATAGATGGCTCTAACAGTTAATGAAATGGGTGGTGCCAAGTGAAGCAGCCTAAGCCTGTTTGGTTGAGAATTCAATAAAGAAGTGGAGGGGTTATGCTTTGGGTAGTAATAAGTGTTAATTAGTTGACTGGCTAATGGAGAAGGTGGACAATATTATTGAAAAATTTCTTCTGCCTACATTAAATTCCTTAAGGTCAACATCGAGGCATGGCTTAAGAAGAAGACAATGACATTGAAATGAAAGTATATTTTTCATGCATGACAACACTTCAGCTCACTTTGATAGTGCAACTAATGAATATTTAGGTAAATTAGGTTTTGAAAATGATAAATATTGAATGGAGCTGTTACATTTTCCTGATCTAAACCCTGTTAAGGACCCTTTGGAGTATTGTCAAGAGACATGTTTAGGAGGGTGATTTTTAAAAAAAAAAAAAAAAAGAAATTGTATCGATCAATGAACTTTGGGAAGCAATAGTTTCTATTTGTGAAGCCATTAGCCATGAAGAAATTCTCAAATTAGCTTCTTCTATTGACAGGAGGATGCTTGAAGTGATTAGAAACAATGGAAAGTCTGTCAGTAAAAAAAAAAAAAAAATACTTTTCATCCAGCTTGTCTTGAGCAGTTTTATGTGATATTTCTTTGACTAAATTATAGGCTTTCATTATTTCTTTTTATCCTTCACAATGATCTTTTTATGAGATGATTACAAAAGTTTTTTTAAAGCCATTAAAATGTAAGGGGACTGGGGGGGGTTACTGAATGTGAAAGAAAATGAGGAAAAGAAAATCATTAAGGAAAGAAAAGTACAAAAGAACAATTAGCATGAAAATATTTATAGATACGCATAGGGAAACTATGTTACAGTGGTTTGGAAAGTGACTGAAGCTGAGATGCCAGATCAAGATGAATAACATTGCAGATTGTTCTTTGTATTTTATTAAGAATTAGAAGCACTAGACCAGACGTGGCAATATTCAGTGTGTGGATGAATGATAGACTTATAAATGTGTAAGATAGATTCTGACAAGAAAACTTGTCTAGCACAATACAGTGAAGCTAGTGTTGTTGCTTTATAATGATGAATCATATCTTGCTCTCTATCTATCTCTCTCTCTATATATATATATATATAAAATCTCACACCTCTAGCACAACACAATTTTGGGGTGCAGAATTCAAATGACTGTTTCACAGTTTGAATCAATATAAAGAACAAATATATCAATCTAACATGTTTCACTTTTATTAAAGCTTGTCAGAGATTGAGAGAAAACAGACAAAAATCTCATCTTTTTAAGCACGTACTCTTTGTATTACATAGATATAAGTTAGATATTTTAAGAATGAATTCAAAGAAAGATGGCATGTCTGTTTATAGTTGATAATAATTTTATTAAGGTTTCAAATCTAGATTAGAATGAAATGCCACCCTGCTGTGTTGGCTGAGCGCACAAGGGGGAAGACATTAGAATGTCTTCTACTAGACAGACACACATACACAATAACAAATACACATTACCATCTGATGTCTGCTTAGACATACAAGAATCTTCACAAACTTACATACACATAGACTTATCCACAGTTTTAATGCACGTGACACATGTCTGACCAATGAGAAGTGACCCAAATATAATTAAAAATATCAGTGTTTTCTGTCTTTTTCTCTTTTTTCTCTCAATCTCTGATGAAACTTTAATAAAACTGAAACATGTTAGATTCATATACGATTACTATTTTTTCTTTATTTTATCATCCTATCAGATTCTGATCCATATTTGATCTGCATTTGATCTTTAACTCATATAGATATATGAACGCTGATGTCGGAATAAACAGACATGTTTTTTTGCTCAAAGAAAGCAATGTCAAGTGTAAAGGAAAGTCTTGATTGTTTTATTTTTCCATTATTCTTCTATTTTTTTTGTTTATTATATTATAATATTTGTAAAGTTATTAATCATTTACGGTATTTTTCTTTTTTCTTTTCTTTTTATTTAAAAAAATTGTTTAGCATGTGTAAGGATATCTTGCTAAGAGTAAAATATATTAAGAACATTTAATGTATTTAATGTATTATTTTAATGTTCTTAATATATTCAACTCTTAGCGAGATATCCTTAAAATTAAATAAGTAAAATTAATTATAGTGGCATAATTCTAATCTGTTTATATCTAAGTGTAAAATTTATTTATCTGTTGTTTTTATGAAAGTGGTTGTAATTTTCGGAATTAGAGGAAAGCATTTTTCTAATGTTTATTTTATTTATCTTTGACTAGTGACTCATTATCACTGATTTATTTATCTATTATTATTTATATTCAAAGATTATTTTAATAACATTTGCTATGAATTTTATTCCTTTACATTTTCTTATTTATTAATTGCAAAATAACATAATTTCAATTTTGTTGAAAAAAACGTTCCCAGTTATAACGTTATTTTGTTTCGTTTTTACTACTAGTCATTATTAATAATAATAATAATTATTATTATTATAATTGTAATAATAATAATAAAATATTCTAATATAATTGATAATAATTTTATACGTTATTATTATTATTTTAAAAGTATAGCAATATATTGGTGCATTGATGACGATCTGTTTACTCCAACATCCAGTGTAAAATATATATATTAGACCTTTTCTAACAATTCCCCTTTTTACCTATATATATATATATATTAATGTCCTCCTTGAAATTATCCCTACCAATTAGTATTTATATATATATATATATATATATTATATTATATGAATCATTCATACAAAAAACAGATATAGAAGTTAATGATATAAATGGTGAGAATACATTTTCACAAACAAATTTAAAATTTAAAAATTCAACCTCAGCGTTGCGACCACCCGCTCCCCAAAAATTTCTTACAATTAACAATAACACATTTTTAAAACATATTTCGAATTACATCTATTCTTTCATTGTCCTGTTATTCCCGGGAAGTAAAAAACAAAAACAAATCTATTTCCATACCTGATGATGTCTGTATACACAGTTGAAAGCTTATAAAAAAGACCTTATACAATTGGAATTTATAAACAGGGATCATAACATTCATCTATAGGTTTGGGGTTAATGTACTTGTATGAATGATTCATATAATGTAAATTGAACTGCACCACATATTTGATATATATATATATATATATATATAAAAATAATAATTTTTGCTCATGTCTATGTGATGAAAGTTTGTTTAAATTCGTGAGCATCAACTCATGAAGTAAAATGAGAAAATCTGATATTATCTGCAATGGCAAAATTGTCATTTCATGGGCAACACTTTAGTACTCCAGATGTAACTGGGTTTTTGTTTATTTGAGTTTTAAATGGATTATTTTCAGCCCCTTTGTGTATTAATTGTTTAGCCACTTTCAAAAGTGATAAAACAAATGAATTGAACATGATCAATGCAGGTTGTCTCTCTACAATTGATTTTTGGATTCCCATTCAATTCAAATGAAACGCATGAATTCTTTTCCTTTTTAAATAATTTAAAATGCTTCCATTAATACACTGAAGTTTATTGCAAATTCTCTGACTGAGGTTTTTGGATCATTTTGCATCATAACTTACAAATTCTCTCATGGCTTTCTTAACTGATATTTTCAATTGAAAAATTTAGAAAGAAATTTACGGTTCATTTCTTAACAACATTGACTTGTATAAGAGCAAAAAAATAATTTGGTAGATTTTGGAATTTAAAAAACACTAGGAAATAAGCAGAAAAAATGAGTTAAACTTATTTTAATTTTTGTTATTACTTTTTCAATAATTTACATTTTTAGCCCAGTCAAGGAGACAGTTGTTGTTAATGACAGGTGGGGACAGGGAATTGCGTGTCATCATGGAGATTTTTACACCTGCCATGATCGTTATAATCCAGGTAAGTTTTTCTTTTACAAACATATATGAAAAGAATTATTGATTCTTAATGTACTTGGACATAAATTTTACAAGTATATAAAAAATAGTAAACTTTTGTCTATGAAGGCCTAAATGCTCACTCATTGGCTGTAAGTTCTTAACTTTTATTTCTTATTTAATTTGAAAGATATTTTGGTTAACAAGTATTTAATCATTATTGTCACACTCTAATAAAAGTCATCTTAAAGAACTCTACCCTAAGTAATCAGTCTAGTTTTCATAAAACATAAATGCCAAATTTAGTGGGCATTACTTTTTTTTTGTTGTTACTCAAATTGTTATTTGACTGAACCAGTTTGAGCCAATTTTGAGGTTAAGCTGAAAGGGGAGACAAAACAAAATATAATATTTTATTAAAAAAAAATATTTCAAAATGCCACTAATATAAAGACATCCCCTTTTCCCACCACCATTAAGAGAGGAGGCACAGTGGAGTAATGGATAGCGGCTCGGATTGAGGAATCAGAGAGCTGAGTTTGAATTCCAGTTGAATTCATTACATTCACTTACGTGCTAATACCCTTGGGAAAGGTGTGAATCCTCTTCTTCTTCTCCCTCCAGCTATGGGTAAATAGCAGGACAGACTGGGTTCTATAGCCTTGGATGACAACTGGTCTAGGAGAAGGAAAAACTCTGAATTCAAAACCTGTGGAGGGTCGTTTGGGGACCTTGTGGCACGTAGTGCATCAGGTCTCTGTAATCGGCCCTTCAAAAAGTGTGGATGGTCCTGCACGAAACCTTCACCACTATAATCAAAACTCATGTGCTATACATGCAGGTTTGGGGACTGCTTGTGAATTCCAAATTCCCATGAAACTCCAATATTGGGTGAATGCCGTTACAAGAACCACAAGGAAGAACCACCATTAACTTAACAACATTCTCACCCAGTTCTTTACCGAGATAAAAATAATTTCTCTCCATAATCCCTAATATCATAATAGTCTCCTAATCATATACAAGCATATACAAGCATAACAATATTTTCCACTATGACTGTTGCTGGTCAGTTGTACGTGTTGAGAGATAAACACGTGTGTCTCCTGAAATGCCCACAACAAACATGGCAGACTCGGGATATGAGTCCACCAAAAATAATAAAAAGAACCAATATATATATATATATATATATATATAAACAAACAAATTGTAATGTATTAACAACAAAAGGGTTACAAGTGACAAAGACAATAATGTGTGTAACAAATGAATGTGGAAAGTTTTTGATCCAAAGTATGTGAAGTGAGTGAATGTATATATGTATGTGTGTGTAGGCATTGTTCATGTTTTTTCCCATGGTGGAAAAAACATGATCTTCCACAAGAGATTTACATGTTGTCATATAAGCGGATAAGTAAAAAGAGAGAGATAAAATTTTATCATAGAGTATTCATAGTGTTGGAGAGCATCTCCTAGGAGCAGATTTGAAAATTAGGAAATAAACCAAAAGTTCTTTGTGACATTACACCATCACCTATGGGAGTTTGAGGTAAGAATTTGTTCTCTGTTTTTTTTTTTGCTTTTATGCTTCATCAACACAAGTCAGATTGTTATCATTTGGCAGATTTAAATGTTTTGAGCAATGTTATATTTTCATAAAGAATAAAAAAAAAAGGAAACTAGCTTTACTGTCCATGTGACTTTTCACACGTCCCCATTCCTCTTTAAAAGCTGCGTTCTTCTTCCTTTGTTGATTACTGACTGCTGTGAATTAAGTTCAGTAAAGCCTTAGGAAAAGGTTATTCTATACTAGCTTTCTTCTCTGAGCAGCGTAACAATTTACTGAACTTAATTCCTCATGGACAAGATTATTCGTCTGGACAAGTTTGATATATCTTCTGCAGGCCCTCAGGCTAGCAAGCTCTGGAGACTATAGTACCGTAATTTTAATTATTACTTATCAACTATTGCTTCTTTCAACCCGGACAAACTCGAAGTCCTTTATTTAAACATCGGTGCTACTGTTGCTGATGTTATTGAGGGTTGTTCTGGATTTGAACAAGGAGGCTACTCAATGTGCTAGAGCCTTAGAACAGGCTCACTTTCGTGCTGAATCATACACTTCTCAGATTGGATCAACCGCTGCTACTACCACTAGGACTAAAAATGTGTTTACTGATTCTGTCGAGGAGGCCACTTCCACTACTATTACTAAAAATATGCTTTCAGACTTAACTGATTCTCATATGGAGTGTGACTCTGTACAATTGTCTGCTGCCTTTGCTCGTGGCAAGTGCTACAATTGTGGAGGAAAACGTCACTTTAAGGATAATCGTCGCTATTGTCCTGCCCATGATAAGATATGTCGAAACTGTGGCAAACTCGGTCATTTTTCTAAAGTTTGCCGTTCTACCATGCCGGCACCTTCACGTTCTACCATGCCGGCACCTTCACGTTCTACTTCAGCTATTATAGTAGCCCGTGCTAAAGACGATGATAGGTCTCCTCCAGTTACTAAAACTTTAGAATTAAAAGGAAAGAGATTAACTGCCCTCATCTTTATCAGTGCCCGTATTGTTAAAACAATGAAACTGTCTACTTCTAAACAGAATTCCGTAATTTCCATGGCTTCATCTGCCATTTCCCTCAAACTATCTGAATATTGTACTGAGGACATTATCTTCAATGGTTACGAATATAAACAAATTGACTTTACAGTACTTCCTGATTCCTGTATGGATATTATACTTGGAATGCCCTTCTTAAAACTACACCAGAGTATCACTATTTCTTTTGATGGATCTCAGGATATTCTAAAAATCTGCGCTTTAACCAAGATCAGTTGTGCTCCTGTTAAGTCATTCCGAAACTTGACCCCTGACTGCAAACCTATTGCTACTAAATCCCGAAATTACCGTGTGGATGATGCTCGGTTCATTGAAAAAGAAATTCTACAACTGCTTGAGGATGATATAATTGAAACAAGTTACTCTCCGTGGCGTGCTCAAATTGTCGTAACTTCGTCACCTAATAAAAAGAAACGATTGGTAGTCGATTTCTCCCAGACTATTAATCGGTTCACCTTACTCGATGCCTACTCCTTGCCTCGAATTGAAGATCTCGTAAACCAAATAGCCCAGTATCGTATCTATAGTATAATTGACTTGTCCAAAGCGTACTATCAGATTGAAATTTGCCCCGAAGATCGCCCCTATATGGCCTTTCAAGCTGGAAACCGTCTGTACCAATTTAAACGAATACCCATGGGTGTTACTAATGGGGTTTCTGCCTTTCAGCGATTTATGAATTCTTTCATTTCTGATAACAAATTATCTGGAACCTTTTCATATATAGATGATATAACTGTTTGCGGTAAAACCCAGGAGGAGCACGACATCAATTTGGAATGTTTCTTAAAGGCTGCCTCAACATACAACCTTGAAATAAACCAGGAAAAATCAGAGTTTTCACTTCGTTCTATTAACGTGCTTGGATATCAAATTTGTAACGGAACTATCCAACCCGATCCTGAGCATTTGAAGCCACTTTTACAAATGCCTCCTCCTTCCGACTCAAATTCGTTAAAAAGGTGTCTTGGTATGTTTGCTTACTATGCAAAATGGATACCTAAATATTCACACAAAATTCGTCCACTGGTCGAAAATAAACAATTCCCTCTGCCTCCTATAGTTATAAATTCTTTCGAAAAACTTAAGAAAGACATTGCCGAGTCATCTGTAAAAGTTATTGATGATGAATTGCCATTTACTATTAAAACTGATGCCTCAGAAAAGGCTATTGGAGGCACTCTTTTACAAGCTGAGCGACCTGTAGCATTCTTTTCTCGGTTGCTAAAACCCTCTGAAATACGACTTCATATAGTCGAAAAAGAAGCATATGCCATAGTCAAATGCGTTCGTAAATGGAGAGACCTCCTTGCTGGGAAACATTTTACTATTATTACTGATCAACAAGCCGTATCCTTTATGTTTAAACCTGCTAATCGCAGAAAAATTAAAAACGATAAAATTATAAGGTGGAAAATGGAACTTCTTCCCTTTTCATACGACATAAAACACCGTCCTGGAAATGAAAACACAGTTGCGGATACTTTATCCAGAGTATGTGGTGCTGCTGCTTCTTCCTTGAAGGAACTAAAATTGATACACGATTCCTTAATACATCCTGGGGTACAGCGCTTTTGGCATTTTGTAAGGTCTCAGAATATGCCAGATTAAACTGATGAAGTCTGACGGTGACTTCTGAATATGCGACCTGTGCCAAAATAAAACCCCATTTCTTCGATTCTGCTAGTAATGTTCTGATCCGTTCTACTGTGCCATTTCAGCGTCTCTCCATAGACTACAAAAGGGCCTGTCCTGGTATCCCCGACAGGTTACCGATATATACTTACTGTCATCGATTTAATATAGTCGATTTCCCTTTGCCTTTCCTTGCCGCGATTGCTCTTCGCAAACTGCTATTCAGTGCCTGACAAGTATTTTCTCCATTTTCGGGCTTCCCTTGTTCATTCACTCTGATCGAGGAACTTCGTTTATGTCAGGAGAATTTAAACAATTTCTAACACGACTTGGAATTGGTTGCAGTAATACTACTGCTTATAACCCTAGAGGCAATAGCCAATGCGAACGTTACAACGGCATAATTTGGAATACCATATTATTGGCCCTGGAATCGAAACAGTTACCAATTAGTGCTTGGCAGGATGTTCTACATGATGTGTTAAATGCTATCCGCTCCCTGCTATGTACCACTACGAATGCAACCCCCCCCACGAACGAATGTTCAATTTTGAAAGGTGGTCCTCCACCGGTACTGCGTTGCTTGTTTGGCTCTGTGAGCCTGGGGAGGTATTATTAAAACGATTCGATGGCAGAAGTAAATATGACCCTATCGTTGAGGTGGTGGAACTCCTTGAGGCCAACCCTCGCATGCCAAAATACGCCACAATGATAGCCGGGAAGATTTGGTGGCGCTGAGACAGTTGGCACATTTTCCACGCCCGGATGGACCTCAAAATGGACCTGAAAATACTCAACCCGACGTGGACCATGCAGATTCAACCCTTTTGCCTGATGTAGGTCCCGTTAATATTTGTTCACCTTCTACAGAAAATGAATCTGTGAATAATAGCCAGAATCCTGAAAGTCAGCCTTCTCAGAGGTCTGGCTCTTCCAGTGGTGAACTACCTCTACACCGGTCTAGCAGGATTCGTAGACCAATCCAACGACTGGATTTATAAAACTTTTTCAATTACAATCTCTTTTGCAAGTGGGGAAGAATGTTATATTTTCGTAAAGAATAAAAAAAAAAGGAAACTAGCTTTACTGTCCACGTGACTTTTCACACGTTCCCATTCCTCTTTAAAAGCTGCGTTCTTCTTCCTTTGTTGATTACTGACTGCTGTGAATTGAGTTCAGTAAAGCCTTAGGAAAAGGTTATTCTATACTAGCTTTCTTCTCTGAGCAGCGTAACAAGCAGAGAGAAAAGAAATTTGCCTTCAGAGCCAAAAAATAAATGTGGAATGTCAACAGCAAGAAAAAGAATTAAAACAAATGTCAAAAAGCTCATAAATATTATTACCTAATGATATCATATAAACAAGCAAGATGCAAAACATCAATATCTGTCTATATCTCAGAGATGAGGTATTATGATTACTTAAACTCTTATCCTCTTCTTTATTGCCATATTCACAATGTTTTGGCGGCTCTGGCCTTTATGTCTATGTCTCTCTATATATCTGTCTATATCTCTGAGATGAGGTATTATGATTACTTACATTAAATCCTCTTCTTTATTGCCATATTCACAATGTTTTGGTTGTTCTAATGTCTATGTCTCTATATATCTGTCTATATCTCTGAGATGAGGTATTATGATTACTTACATTAACTCTTATCCTCTTCTTTATTGCCATATTCACAATGTTTTGGTTGTTCTACATTATGTCATGTCTCTCTATATCTGTCTATATCTCTGAGATGAGGTATTATGATTACTTACATTAACTCTTATCCTCTTCTTTATTGCCATATTCACAATGTTTTGGTTGTTCTACGCTGGCCTTTATGTCTATGTCTCTCTATATATCTGTCTATATCTCTGAGATGAGGTATTATGATTACTTACATTAACTCTTATCCTCTTCTTTATTGCTATATTCACAATGTTTTGGTTTGTTTCTACAACTCTGGCCTTTATGTCTATGTCTCTCTATATATCTGTCTATATCTCTGAGATGAGGTATTATGATTACTTATTTTATCCTCTTCTTTATTGCCATATTCACAATGTTTTGGCCCAATTGGCCTTTATGTCTATGTCTCTATATATCTGTCTATATCTCTGAGATGAGGTTGTTACTACATTAACTCTTATCCTCTTCTTTATTGCCATATTCACAATGTTTTGGTTGTTCTCGCTCTGGCCTTTATGTCTATGTCTCTCTATATATCTGTCTATATCTCTGAGATGAGGTATTATGATTACTTACATTAACTCTTATCCTCTTCTTTATTGCCATATTCACAATGTTTTGGTTGTTCTACGCTCTGGCCTTTATGTCTATGTCTCTCTATATATCTGTCTATATCTCTGAGATGAGGTATTATGATTACTTACATTAACTCTTATCCTCTTCTTTATTGCCATATTCACAATGTTTTGGCCGTTCTACGCTCTGGCCTTTATGTCTATGTCTGGTCTATATCTCTGAGATGAGGTATTATGATTACTTACATTAACTCTTATCCTCTTCTTTTATTGCCATATTCACAATGTTTTGGCCTTTCTCGCTCTGGCCTTTATGTCTATGTCTCTATATATCTGTCTATATCTCAGAGATGAGGTATTATGATTACTTACATTAACTCTTATCCTCTTCTTTATTGCCATATTCACAATGTTTTGGTTGTTCTACGCTCTGGCCTTTATGTCTATGTCTCTCTATATATCTGTCTATATCTCTGAGATGAGGTATTATGATTACTTACATTAACTCTTATCCTCTTCTTTATTGCCATATTCACAATGTTTTGGTTGTTCTAGGCCTTTTTATGTCTATGTCTCTCTATATATCTGTCTATATCTCTGAGATGAGGTATTATGATTACTTACATTAACTCTTATCCTCTTCTTTATTGCCATATTCACAATGTTTTGGCCGTTCTAAAATGTCTCTCTATATATCTGTCTATATCTCTGAGATGAACCATTATGATTACTTACATTAACTCTTATCCTCTTCTTTATTGCCATATTCACAATGTTTTGGTTGTTCTACGCTCTGGCCTTTATGTCTATGTCTCTCTATATATCTGTCTATATCTCTGAGATGAGCCATTATGATTACTTACATTATTTACATTATTCAGACTGTTATCCTCATCTTCACAACTTTTGGCCATTGTATGCTCCAGCCTTCCTCAGGTGAATGGAATTTCAAACTGAACCCTTTATTTCAACCACCAGGGTACATTGTTCTAGTTCCACATGCTATGCATCTTCCGATTGTGTCAGTTATTTCCCTTTAACTCAATTCTCCAAGTTTTTAGGTTCACCACTGCTGTAGCCTGGTATTGAATTCACAACACTTTGGGTCTAGTCACTGGATCTAACCAACACCTTTATCTATTGGGCTGAAATGTTGTGAATATGGCAATGAAGATGAAGGTAACAGTCCAAATAATGTAAATAATTTAAGATTAATACATAATTAGATGTTTTGATTTTCATTTCTTCATTTTTAAACTTCTTTACCTAAAAGTCTGTATCGCTATGCCACACATGGTATCGTTTGATTTTGGTGAACAAAGATGAACCAATTTAGTTTTATTTCTTTATTATTATTGTTAACTAGCAGCATGGCCCGGTGTTGCCCATGCTTGATTCAAAAATCATACGATTCATACAGCAATCGCTATCACTTGACTTAAAATATTTTTGCCCTTCCTTGCCTTTAAAGAAGTGCCCTTTGCCATGCTGATGTTGCTACATGCCTTACTTCTTGCCTATCTCACACTGCAGATTTTTTCTAAACTCTATACTAAACATTACACACAATCTGTTATGAAAAAAGAACTAAACAAAATGAACACAAAACAAACAGCTTTAAAAAAAAGTCTCGTAACTGGAAAAACTGAATGAAAAAAGAATATTAACAACAAATACTTTTTCACACCCAACCCAATTCTGTGGAATCAGAATCAACATTGAGTTTAAGCAAGTGGATGAGCCAATTGGAGTAAAGTGACATGCAGATTTAAATTTTTCCCACTTGTGATGAATGCAGCTATGGATTTTTTTTGCATGCTAGCATGCTAGTTAACATTCGTGTCAGTCAGCTGTTGGCCTCACGCTGGCCAATAGAATCTTCCTGCCTATTTGTGGCAGCCAGCTATAGGCTCTCACTCTGGCCAGTAGAAAATGGCCGCAAATTACATGAAAACTGCTGTAGAAGCATGAAAAAATTGATTATTTCCACTATCGATGGGAGTTGGGAAATGTAACTTCAGTCTTGGCCTTCCCGTTAACTTGGAGCATGTGCATGTAAATTTTGGTGCAAATCTGTCGAAAATTGCGGCTATGCATTCGTTACACACACACACACACACACGCATCCTGCCTTTTATAGATAGAGATAATAATAATAATAATAATAATAATAATAATAATAATAATAATAAAAACCTACCTGAGATTCTCTAAACAAAATAAATTTTTAAAAAATGATTAAATAACAAAAAAAAAAACTTTAATAAATGTCTTCTACTCACAGAAACATTTCATTGTTTTTTTGTTTTTTTTTTTTTCACTGGTCTCATAATTTTTTCTTTGAAGCTTTTTGATTTTGACTTTCTTGTATTTATTGTATTTCATAAGAAGTACTGATTTTTGAATAGACCAACTAATTTATTTTTTAAATTGTTTAGATATTTGCTAAGCTTTTTATAGTAAAAAGTCAAATGAAAGTAGAAAGGCCAGTCTTTGAAGTTAAGGAAGGTCTGCTGGCTTAGAAAATCAGCATTCAACATTTAGCCTTAATCTGCACTTGAACTTCAGCCTTTGACAACTGTGGAAAATTTGTAACCATTACTGTAATGAAATAGGAAATTTGTTCTTTGTTTTTCGACTAGGAAAATGAATCAGTAATTTAAAATATAGAAATAAACTACAAGTAAGGTATTGGGTTGAGAAAAAAAGGATTTCTCTATGGATGACTGCAAAAGAGAGCTTAGAAAATTAATTTTAGGAGGAGGAAATTATGATATTGTTTGAACGATAGCAGGATTGTAACGGGTAAATATATTATTCCAAAATATTCCACAATCTTAGACAACTCAAAACATTCTGCTAAATAAGAAGAAAACATTGAAGATATTAAAAAAATGCACAGACTAATGAAAATAATCATAAATAAAATAATTTTCTCAAAAAGAAAAAAGTTTATTTTCAAGATTTATCTCCTCTTTTTTTTTTTTTCCTTTTTTAATTTAATTTTGCTGTATATTTGCAGGTAAATTGCTGAAACATAAATGGGAAAATGCCATGACAATCGATAAATCTTCTTGGGGTTATCGACGACAAGCAAAATACTCAGATTACTACAGTATCAAAGAACTTATTAGCTTGCTGGCTGAAACAGTCAGGTAAATCTATTACCCTTTCTTGCAAATAAAATTTGGTATCTTCTGCTTCAAATATATATATATATATATATATATATATTTGCCAGCAACCTTTCTTTCAAACGTGTTTCATTAAATATGACAGAGAAGGAACGTTTGATGAATTTTTTATTGAGTTTTTCTCGTATTAGATTTTTCTATTTGATGGTGTTAAGGGAAGGGAGAATTTCTCTTCGGCCACTTTTTTAGCCATTTTCAAGGGGGTTGATATAAATTGTTATTAATTTCTTTTCATGGTCATCTTTTAACCTTTAATTGACAGAATATCAATTAGTGTTGACCTCAACCATGAAATTTATGTCATTATATACAGCAATGAAGCCTATTCATTTGCATGGGCAAGGATCATGGGATCCTTACAAAAGTGAAAATGTTCCAAAATTCTTTAGCTATTTCCAAAGCCTTAACTCTTAATGCTGTCGACCATATTTAACATGCTTATGTCATTAAAAAAAGAACAATTGGAGAAAAATCTGATATAAAATTTTTTTTTTTATCTTATGTTGAACCACGTGTTATGTGTTTTTTGGGAATGTTATCATTTAAAATTTTTATCTGTTTTTGCATCAGCAGTCAAATTTAATTCTTTAAATAAAAATCTTCCAAAAATAAAATAGTCTTTTGAAGAAATAAGAATGAAGGGAAATAATTAATCGAAAGAATATTTGAAAAAATTACTTCTTCTTATGTATGTTTATTTATATTCTTAAAAAAAACTCCTTAAACAATTACTTGAATATTTTATGTGTTTATCATGTAGTACACTTTGCTTTTCTTTTAGTTTTCTTTACATTTTCTCATCTATGCATGTCATCTGCAATTTGTTGGCCACAAAATTAAAAAATTCAGTTATTAGTGGTAAACTCATAAATGATTAAATCTGCAAAAGTTAAATCTTTAAAATTAATATTTGACTGTATAATTAAAGTAAATTATAAAATAATACTTCCCAAACAAAACTGCTTTTTAACCTTTTTTGCCTTCCCTCAACATGGCTGATGCTAACCTCCAAGGGAATGACTCATTATGCCTTCTCTGGCTAACATTGGAATGGTTAATTTAATTAAATGCTTGGTTTACTGCTAGGAAAGTTGATTCACTGTGCAATTTTTCTCACCAGAATCTATCTTACATATTTATAAGTCTAACATTTTATCCATACCTTGAATATTACCATCAAATCTGGTCTAGTGTTTCTGCTATGTATTAAAAGATTTTTGATAAAATCTAAAGAATCTGCAATATTATCAGTCCTGAACTGGCATATCAGATTCACTTTCCCACGGCCATAAAATAGCTTCCTTGTGACTTTTCTATAAATATTATTACATTTTAAGTGTTCTGATGAGCTTTCCTTTTTGGTACTTCAACTTTACAAATTTAAATGCAGTACTAAATTGACAACTAGGTCTCATCATTTTACAGTTGAAATTGGTAGATGTAAATGTAAGTTCTATGTTGACAGTTTTTTCTCTCACACTTTTCTCTTGTGGGACTCTCTTCCAGTTTCATGCTTTCCAGTCAACTTTGACCTTCAAAAATTTAAATGCAATGTCAAACATTATCTTCTGTCTTCTTAATTTTTCTTCTTTCTCCTTAATAATGTTTTCTTTCTCTTTTATTATTTCACATTCAGTAGCCTCTTGCATCTTAGTGGTTTTATTGTCTTGCTTAGAATGAAATGATTAAAAAAATATTTGACATATATGAGGGTAGAATCTGTGACTTGCAGGTAAGCTAATTAAACATTTACTGGAATTACAGATGATTTTATTTAGATTAAAAGATTATTTACACCTACCTTCTTAGTGCTGATTTTTCAAATATTTCTATAGCCTAGTGGATTTGGTGATGACATAATTTTGAGTTCAATCCCTGGGCTAAGTAGTACATATTTAGTGGAAACAAGGCAAGCAATAACTGGGCTGTACTACATAAGACCAAGACAAGATATGTCTAGACATAGACAGCAGAATTAGAATGATCTAACCCTGTAGATTAAATAATGGATACAATTTGAAATTCCCTTCAGGTCACCTGGATTGACAGATGCCTGAAGAAGGCTGGAGGTCACATAGGCTGAAACATAGTAATAACAGCAACAACAAAAAATCAGGATATTATTTTGAATCTAAATAAAAATTACCTGTACCTGGGATATTTTATTTTGGAGTGAAATACTCTGGATCATTCATTCAGGAGTTAATAATAAGATAATTTGATTTTAAATTATTAATTCCAAACAACATCATATTCAGTGATTTCTTTTTTTTTTTCCCAGCTGTGGGGGTAACTTGCTGATGAATATTGGACCAACACATGATGGGCGAATTGACCCACTATTTGAAGAACGGCTACAACAGATGGGCAAGTGGCTAAATGTTAATGGAGAGGCAATTTATTCAAGCAGGCCTTGGACTTATCAAAATGACTCCTACACAAAAAATGTTTGGTTGGTATCAAAATATTTTTCAAGTTTATCTTTTTTTGTATAACATTAGATAAAAAATTTGTATAACATTAAAGAATAAACAGTGTATAACATAAAAATTTGTATAACATTAAAGAAAAAATTGTTTAACATCAAAGAAAATATTTGTATAACATTAAAGTGAGAAGTTTCTCAATTTAAAGAAAGTTTTTATAACATTAAAGGAAAAAACAATTTGTATAATATTAAAGATAAATGTAATATCAAAGAAATAATTTGTATAACGTTAAAGAAAAATTTGTTAAAAAGAAAATTGGTATAACATTAAAGTAAAAAATTGGTATAACACCAAAGAAAAACTTGTATAAGATTAAAGAAAAATTCTATTAAAGATCCTTTTATTGCATTTATCACAAATAAATCAATGATAATCTATAAATAAATCAAATAAATCATTGATAATTCTATTTTATTGTTCAATATTTTAAACTTATCATTGATCCCCTTTGAGAAGTGTTGATTAAAAAACTGGTAAAGGAATTTCACTAACTTTTCATTTTTGACAGTTATTTTCAACATGTCCCTTCATGCTATTTATTTCTTTGAAAATGTCTGACATGAAAATGGTTTAAAAAAATGATTCAATGTAATTTATTATCAAAAATAGAAACAGGAAATTATACATATATATTGAAAAATTAGGTTGTTACAAAAGAATTTAATTTGTAAATTATATTTTATTTTCTTTAACACAGATTATCATTTGCTTTAATGAATTGTAATTGCTTTATTATGAAAATAATTTTTTCTGAAAACTTTCATATTTAAAATAACTAAAAAATATACCTTGAAGAAGCAGAGACATGTTGATAATAACTCTAGAAAAAAGTATAGTGTAAAGCAGACAGTTTTTCGATTAATGCTTATCAATGATCATTGATAAGTTTAAAATAGTTAACAATAAAATGGAATTAACAATAAGAACGTGATAAAATCATTTATCGTAGACTTTGTGATCTCACAAAAAGAATGAGATGACAGATAAAATCTGTTTTTAAGCTATTTTACCTCATTTGTATTGGTCACTATTAGTGATCTTCTTTGCGAAGGATTAATTGAAAAACTGGCCATGTAAGAGGAATTGCACCAAATTTTAATTTTTGATAGTTATTTTCAACATGTCCCTTCTTCTTTATACTATTTTTTTAAGTTTAGTATCGTCAAGAAATTATTTATATCTCTGTTCCTTTTGATTGGCATTAATAAATATCTATTTATACAATTAACATATGATAAAGTAAGTGTAAGGCACAAAATCCATGAGTCACGAAATGTGTGACCTTTACCCAGATAACATGTTGCCAAAAACAACAATTCTGCTGGTGACAAACAGAGGAATTTTAAAGCCTTTTACAAAACATTAATGCTTATGATTAACTGTAAATAGATATTGGTATATTTGCACCTATAATACTGACTTTATTTGGGAAGGTACTTTTTCTCTTATGTTAACAGCATGGGGACATTTTGACAAGGCAAGTCACTATTCAAATGCAGATGATGGGAATTTTCTATCTATCTTCACTTCTATGACTCAAATGCAAATGGCAGAAATTTCTACAACATTTCATGTGTAAAATTCCAAATCCATATCCAGGAGAGTCTTCTCACTCCTGTTGGAGGGACCCCCTCTCCGCTTGACCATGTTTTTCTCACTCCTGTTGGAAGGACCCCCTCTCTGCTTGACTGTTTTTCTCACTCCTGTTGGAGGGACCCCCCTCTCTGTTTGACCATGACTTTCTCCCTCCTGTTAGAGAGACCCCTCTCTACTTGATCATACCTTCAGGGGTGTAGCAGTACTAACCACGCTTAGCCAATCCATGGTTGGTGAGGCCTGTTTAACCCATAGTTGGGGTGGATGACCATTGACTCTGTGGCGTCCCTTCACCCTTTAACAGCTTTTGTGCTGCTTAATTCTCTTCACCAGACCAGGTCGGCTACCAATCAGGCTTTGAATTAAGAGTTGTCCTTCTCCGAGACCAGTTGCCACTCAAGGCTATATGACTGAGTCTGTCCAACTATTTACCATTAGCTGAGAGAAAGATAGATGGATTTATGACTTTCTCAAAAGCATTTACATGTAAGTGAATATAACAAACTTGACTGGAATTTGAATTTATTTCTCCAATTCCTTAATCTGAACCACTAACCATTACGCCATATTTTTGCTTGCTAATGTTTGATGGGTATTTTTTCTGTGTTTCACTTATTAAAAGAAAAACACAATAAATAAGGGTTTTTTATGAAGAAAAAAATGTTTCATCTGAGATGATAATTCTAATATAATTATAATAATGATATAAGAAAAATCTGTGTAAAATTAGTGTTAGTTCAGGAGTTAATTGCATCCTGACATTTTCAGAAAAATGAAGGAAGGAAGTAAATAAATGAGTTTAAAAAATAAATTCAGGTGTGACTCACCTGTTTTCACTCACTAAACAACCTGAAGTGATTAGATAAAGGTGCAAAGATAAAAAAAATTGTGTGTGTGTGTGAAATAACTAAGGATAGTGGAAGTTTTAAAAGTATTGTCAATGTATTTTCTTCTTCGGGTAGGCATTCAGGGCTACAAATTGTAAGCTCTCCTAAATAAGCTTCAATGTTATCTTATTGTAATGGTATCAGTATAAAAATTTACAAAGTCATTCTTATTTGTTGATTTATGTTAGACCTTAAAAATTAAACTAGTTTTACTTTGAATTAACAGCCCTTACATTTTCTTACTATTCTACTTATTCAAACTAATATCAGATTAAAATTAAATGTGCTACCATAAGTCAACTTATAAAAAGGACTTCATAAATCTTTACTCACTTCATATCAAAAAGATAAAATTAAGAATAATTATAGGCTTTTCTTTATGAGTTCTTAGAATTTACCCACCTGAATATCTACTTAAAAAATTATATACACACACACACACATATATATAATAAAAAGGCTTAAACACTAATATTCCATGGTCATAATTTATTCCATTGGAATCGTAAATACGATCCAATTCATCAGACCTACAAATTCAAAAAGAAAACAGAAAAAACAACTTCAGGAATAAAAAATAAAATTTAGAGAGAGTGTAAGTATGAGAGTGTGGGACGAATGTTAGAGCTATAGAGAGGGTTAACAGACGAGAGAAGATGGGAGATTAAAATTTAACAGAGAGAAGTTTTAGAGAGGTGAGTCAAAGACGGTTTAAGTGAGAGAAATATGAATGTTCTCGGATGTCTAATACATTAAAGATGTAACCGGAAAGGATTCATTTTGTGGTGACATACACACACAATAGACGATCTAATCTTAAAGATCAGAAGAAGAGGGAGGGAGAGGAAAAGAAAAGGGGTGGGGGAGAGAGATGGGGCGGGTCTGAACTAAAACTGAAGGGCGTTTATAAAAGGGCCACTGTGTAATTAAGAAAATTTGACAAAATTAATATCGACTACAGGTTACCAATCAAATATAAACATAAAAAATAAATATAACGATTATCTAATCTAGCAAGGACTTATATTTTTATGTTCAAAAACACATGCATATACACACATACACAATAACATATTTACATTTACACATACATACATACATATAGGTATGTACACACGTACCCACACATATACCCATGTACACATATACACACACACACATATATATATATATATATATACACACACACATATATGCATAAACACACACACATACATCCATACACATCCACTTCTACATATATATACATTTACACACATGTATGCACATAAACATATATACATAAAACCTTACATCTCCATACAATTACATACACCCATCTAAAAAAATAAACAATGTATCCCTATATCTATCCATCTAACTATACATACATACATATACACCCATATACAGATATATATATGAATGAATACATACCAAAACATACACACACACATAAACATATAAACACATCTACATACACATACATACATCCATATACGCATACATATATACACATACATATACATACATACACATATCCACACACACACACACACATGTAATGCACATATACATAAATATATATCAAAATGTAAAATTTAAAAAAGTGTTTATGTTTTGAATTGTTTCTTATGTCTACATTTAGAAAATATCTCATTATGAAGATTTAGCAACTCATCTTGATTCTTATCTTTAATAATAAAAATTTTTTCGCCATGCACAGATCACACCGATCGTGGAAGTTATTAGGGGTTCTAGCTCTTGATAAGTATCTCCATTTTAAAAGTGGGGTTAGTCCCTTATCCACCAGATCCCAGTAGTGTTTGGATAAGAAAGTTTGATTTCTGTGATATCTATATCTAAAAGAGTGTCTATGGTTGTATAGACGCTGCTTCCAATCACTGGCGGATATACCTATATATCTTTTTTTCTGGTTTATATTTTCCTCGGGGAAGATTGTTGCCTTGTATACTACATTTTCATACTTACATTTACCCCCGTTAGTAAAGGTAACAAATCTCTTGATATATAATCCAAGTGGATCCTAGTAATATAAAATATTAAAACTGATCTACAGAATCTACCAATCTTTCTTAAGAAAAAAAAATGTTTAGATGGTAATTAGTTGGAGGCCTAATAAAAAGTCCTTCTGTTTACACAGAGAGGGCTTCAACAATAGAATTTTTTTTTTCTTTTTCCAATATACTTTGTCCATTTTTTAGTCTCAATTCAGTTTATTAACCTCAATTTAGCTCTACTGAGCAAGGTTTGAAACTGGTTAGCTAGCCCGTTTTTCAGTTTTACTTTTTATTATCATCATGAGTAGTAATAATAAAAATAATTTTTGTCTATTTATGACATATATATATACATATATATATATATATATATATATATATACACTAGCTTAAAAGCTGCCATATTAGGTGGCATTTTGAGTTAGATACTGCGGAGCTCTCTTGATTGGGCCTTCCTCACAATAGGTTGGGAGGAGTAGA